GTTTCTTTGTTTGGTGAAGCATTTCAAATCACACACACACACACACACACACACACACACCGGCCTTTCGCAAATACACTTAACCGATGCCCAGCGCTCGCAGAGGCACTAAAGACTACGATTAAAAAGGAGCTCATTCTCAGTTCAGGTCCGGGGAAGTTTATTCAGATAAAAACTGTAGATGAAACTGTTAGCTAATGTTGATAATCATTTTCATAGGAACAGAATTCAATGACATGCTGTTAAAGTAAGATTCAGTGATCTTCATCCACATTATCTACTGGATGAATATTACAAAATGGAAAGGAAAAGAATAAAAAACATGCATATGCTATTTTTTTTGTGATATTTGCACTTATATTTTTGTACAATATTGGCCTATTTGCATTCTTAAGACCTATTTGAACAGTAATACACTAAATATAATTTTATGGTGTTGTTAGAGATTTGAGGCTCAGCTCATAATGTAACTTTTATTAGTGCTCTTGGATGCATGAGAAGTGACATGTCTTTTAATTTTGTGGGTCTCAAATGATTTTAGCATGACATGGCACTAAGTCCGTGGATTAGCAGTCAATGACAGCGGTATTATTAGTCTGCCTTTATAATCAGTCAGATTAAGTGTGCAGACGTCTCTCCTGCCCTCTGGAAATCAGTGTCTTCTTCTTTAGTTCATTTCATTAACACACTCAATCCACTCTTGCAACGGTCTGTTTGCAGAAGCCGTTGTCAGCCGTTTTCTATATTTGCATGTGTTTGAAGTGCAAAATGTAGGAAACGTGTGTTTTACTCACTCAAAGCTAAATCTACGCCACATTGGCACTGGATATTCCCTTAAAATTCAATGAAAACGTGCAGCTCGGGACTGTTATGCTTACATAGTGGCTTATCCTGCAGCTAGAGAATCTGCAGAAGGTGCTTGTGTCTCAAAGTTGAGATTATTGTAATTTGTGTTGCGACACAGTCTGGCGTAGAGATCTGTTGAACGATGAGGACGCATTTCCATGTGTAACTTTGGGCTCGTGTCACAGCCCTCGCTGCGGAGATAAATTTGTGTGGCCTCTTGGGAAGGTGCAGATATTTCTTTCCCAGCATTATGCAGGGCTGTTTAATTAACACCTTCATCAGTCTGGATTTCTGCTCTCTCTGTGAAATCACGGAGAGGTTGTAAAGGTCAGTGGATGTAAAACACGAAGCATCTGACCTTTACACAGGTGAGAAAACCTCACATAATGAATGCACTGCTTTAGAGTCACTAACAAGTTCTGAGTCAGTCATGCCGGCCTGTCAGACAGTTTTTCAAGATGATGATAGTTAATAGTTCAGATCAATGTCCAGTCTGGAGGTTGTAGTTAGAGATTGGAGGGGATGGAGATGTCTGCATGTAGGATGCTATTTTACTCTCCCTTACCTCACTGGTGGACTTTATTATACTAAACAAAAAAATAATAATGGCACAAATGTAGTCATAAAGTCCTTAAAAATGCAGAAATCGGCATGCCTCAGTTCACCATCTTGCAACTTATTGTTGGTTTGTGGAGGATGCAACAGATCAACACAATCTGTCATACTTTACTGAGACCGTACAGCATCACTCCATCAGTGCTCCTTAAAATACTGAACCCTTATTTCAAAATATTTATTAATAATGCTCATAATATAGATTGCAATGTATATGTATATATACAGTATATATATATAGAGAGAGAGAGAGAGAGCATTATTGCATATATAGAATGTATAAGTTATTGTTACATTTTTTTATTCATTTTTACATTTTACGTTTATTTTTAAGAGATAGTGCCACCTGCTTCAGCATTGCAAATGTACTGATATTTGTCAGCCATCAGAGCACTCTAGAAAACATGCATGAGAAAATGAAACACACACACACACACACACATGCACACACACACACACACACTCACACACATGCACACACACACACACTCACACACATGCACACACACACACGCCGAGTGGTGACAGATCGTCCTGCTGTCTACTCTCATGTCTGTTCTGACTGCATCAGCTCCCATCTGAGCTCAAACACAAATATGAACACTCAATGAAATGCGTATACTATACTGTAGGACAACATATACATTTATATTAACCTGTATATAGTTACATTAAAGTTTCAGTTTTAGTGTCTTTTATTTGATGGATCAAGATGGCAGAACACCAGAAAATAAAATGCATACGCAGTATAAAATATATATTGTACATGTCATGGAATAAATTGGCATAATTAGTCAGAGTGAATTATGTGATTATTTATATCTGGTCTCAAAGCTTGTGTTTTACTAATGCAATTCATCCTTTGTGTAAATTTCTTTGAATTGCAGTACAGTAAATTCATCATGCTGTCATTTCAATTCAAACATCAATTCAACATCCTGTGGGGTGTGAACAATTCACACTCACACTCATGAACTGAATAGGAGAGCCAGTTTTGCCAACCACACACACACTCTCTCTTTTTCACACACACACACACACACACACACACATACTCACACTCACACACACACACACACACAC